GCTTGGACCAGAAGGGGTCCCCCAAAGAAGGTAGATTAAGAAGGTCCACAGCAACGACAACATGAAACACCCATTCTTAATTTCAGTTTCGTTTCTCCGCTCGGGGGACGGACGGACGGACGGACGGACGGACTTTACTGGCATTGATCCGGACCAGTGACCTTGTATAAAGTTCACAACTGGACCTTTAATAAAAAAGTTTGAGTACCCCTGTACTACAGCATCTCCAGCGCTTTCGAGCGGCAATGGCCGGCCGTGACCCAACCCCACATTCCCCTGATAGGTGGAGAGTTGGCCCAATAGCCGTAGCGCCACCGTCCTGACGTCAGTAACGTGTTCAAATCTGGATCAGTTTTCATCAGATCCGTTGCAGCCCCGTTTTTAGAGATTTGGGTATGGAGGAAAATAGAGAGGGTTGTGTTTTCTGACACTTGGTGAGTTCCCTGGAACACATTATACATGAATATGTGGGACACATATTCATGTATAAAAGACGTACAAAAGTGCATTTTGCATGATAGGTCCCATTTAAGGTAACATTGTGTGTGAGAAGCATATTTATATATTTTTTTCAAAGCAGGTGGTTTTAAAATATGCTTCAGGCATTTCAATAATAACTTTAAGGTTTATAATTGTGTTGATTTTATGGATACTTACTATTTTTACTTATATTTGTGAGGTTGCAATATTTAATTGTGGTCAAAGACGGAAACTTTCTTGATGCAAGACATAGCTAGGACTTCATCTGTGCATTTTCACCACACAGACACACAAACCACTTGAGGAAGCAGTACGTGGATAACATAAGGAACACACATGCACACAAATACCAGAGAACGGCAAAGAGCTACTGGCCCTGATAAAGTTTCACTTTAATAAGGACCAGATGCTCATAAAAGACTACTTATAATGATTATTTTTGTCTTCAAAGAGACAGGAAGAGTAACAAAGACATATGGATATGAAGAAATAAATTCATTTTGACATTTTGATTCACGTTTGTCTTTAGTGTCGAGCCAGAGTCATAACTTCCCTATGGTCTATGTGTGTGTGCCGAAACAATGATCGTAAATGATGAAAGGAAGTCAGGGCGTCCTGGTTTTATTAACAGGGCAGGTAATGAGGTGAAAGGACGGCAGCAGCAGCTCAGGTTCACCAAAGAGCAGAGGCCTTAGTTCACAGTGCACAGGAACACCGGTGGGAAACGGTACATTATTCTCCAGCTGTTTGACATGAAATGACTTCCAAAAACAGAACTAATTATCATTCTCTGTGAACTCAGAGACGAGATAACACTAGTCGAGGCTTTATATAAAATGAGGAGGAATCCAATTGTGTGCATAGCATGTTTGAACCCTTTGACCCTACTTATTGCTGCCATGGAAAAAAACGGTGGTTAAGTCATGAAATAAGTAACATTTAATATTGTATTAGAGAATGTTTACATATAAGAGCCCTTGAATTTGAAATAAAGCTCGCAAACCTTGTTTATACCGTGCAGAGGTATACATAAACTGGGGAGCCCCACTCAGATTTACCTGTAGTTTTATTATCTAATAAACAGCTTTTTTTACTCTGACTTTGGGTAAAGTTTATCATCCTCACTAACATAGACTGACCTGTACACAGACCAAAGGAGAGTACACTTTTCAAGTGGATTAAACGTAACAGTTCCAGCAGAGAATGAAAGGCATGATTGATGCTTTTCTTTTACTGATTTAAACAGAAAGCAGATGCAAAGGTTTGAACCAGCTGCAGCCAGACTATCAGACAGATTTAGGAGATGTGGAAGGAAATACTTTAAAATAAAGGGATCAACTCACCTTGCAGAACAACGCTGAGGCCAGGCAAACTTCTCAAGCTATTTTGGGAGTGCATCTGCGTATCCGGTATGATGCAGCAGGGTGTTCCCAGGACAGGCCTGTTCTGGAAAAGCTGACCACTGCAGGGAGGAGATTAGTGCAAGTTGTGATCAAAACTTCTGAAGCAATGGAGACACAGAGAGAGCTCGCACTTTGATGGCAAACACTGATGGTTTATTCTGAGCTTCGGCCGGAGAATTCACAAGACATGTGCTGTGCCACGAGTAGACACAGCGGTTGCCAAACCAATTCTGAAGATCTCTACCCCAGACCCATGTATTTAGCTTGTTCTGAGAGAATAATCAACATTGTGCATAACAAGATAAAACCATAACACCTCTATCAGCTGATGCCAACAGGCAGGAACAGGAAGACAAAACACTGAGAGCACAGCCTGTAAGGGCAGTACAAACTGATCAACTGGGTCAACGATATGGGCCCAGGAAAATATTTCCCCAACACAAGTCATGACTGATTATAACTTATGTTAGGAAAATGTTCTGAGTCAGGGACAGAGGGTTAGTTTGCCGAAACAAGCATTAACCTAAATAATTCTAAGGAAATATCAAGCTAGATTTTGTAAATTTGTTTTAAGAGTTCAGCAATCCTTGTTATACAAATTATGAAAAAATGCAAAAGGCATTAAGTGTTCTCTTTCTCCCTCACCTGCTCACAGTTCAAGTCAAACACTGGCTATCAATGCTGGAAAATGTCTTCGCACACCATGGTGCAATGGTAAATCCTGGAATGTATCAGTAAAAATTAAGAATTCAACTGTTTATACATTCTTCTGCTGTCTTTTGGCAATAAAATAACATTTCAGAGTGCAGAAACAATCTGGTATGTTACTGCACAATGTGTTATATAAAATAAATGTACTTTGGCAAAAATACAGAACTACATTTGATCACAGAAAAACATCTATGCACGTTCAGACAAATAATAAGCCAGTCACTCTATTTATTTACTTAAGACATTTTTAATAGTCCTGGGTAGCAAACAGAATGACTATGTGCATTATTCTGTATACAGAGCAAAAAAAAAAAAAATGGTGTCTCCATTCAAATACATTAAAATAATCAACTGTAAAAATCACATAGAAAAAAATCTCTTAAAAATTAATAATCAATAGGAATGATCAGATTAGAAAACAACAATTCCAGTGATGATTTCCTATTCTCATTTTAATCTTTCTCTCCATTATGTTTACAACTTTCAATATCTGGAACCCAACCGCCCGGCACTGTCCACCTGCAGAGACGAGCAGAATGAAACACAGCAGCCTCCAGTTTATCTACATCTACGACAAACTGTGTGCTTCAGAGCAGGCGCAGCAACTTGTCTTTTCTCAGAGTTACTGGATTGAAACGCAGCTCTAGCACTTGAATAAGGATCTCTACACCTATACTGTACTTGAAGAACCTCATTTATTTGTATGTTAAGTGCCAGTTCCTCCATGTCCAAAGATATTGCAATTTTAATAGAAGATATATAAAAGCTGGTGTTGTTGCTGGTGTAGATTCTTTTATTTCTGAAATGCTGAACTTTCTGAGATACAATCATTTCCCTCCTTCCCTGGGCACAGTTAAGCACTGATCTCAATCAGTGGCTTGATAAAGACCGCTGGAGTCCAACCGGTAGTTTCTAGATTCCTGAGGCTTGCTGGGTATCAGAGCTGGAGCACACATACTACAGTATTGTGTTTGCATAGTTATAAATATTGCATGGAGCAGCGGACATCACCTCTCAGGATTCCTGTCAGATATTACACCACAACATCATGGCAACATGTATGCTGATGGCTACTGAATGCAAATAAGAGCAAGGCCAGACATTCATCAACTACTGTTGCAGTTCAGTGGGAGAGAGAGTGGGTGAACAACACAAACACACACATACTTTTCTCAGCAGTTTTTGGGCATTTTTCCAGTGGGCTATATCCTCAGCAGAAAGACCACAAAGAGGGTTTATTAAACCTAGGATTTATGACAGCATGGTTGGTACCGTTCAGTAATTACAGTTGGCAAAACACGCACACACTTAAACCTAAATGCACAAACACACACATATGTAGGAAGTCGAATGTGCACATAAAACTAAATATAGGTGGCTTACTTCACACACTTATTCTCATACATACACACACAGGCATGTAAACTGCTCAGGCTAGCTTTTGTATGGAAACACCCTTTAAAAAGTGAGTTTTCTTTTGGTTTAACTGACTGTAGAACGTTCTCCGCCAATCTACATCTTCTCTCTGCGGTTTATAGGAATGTTCAAGATAATGTATATAAGCACAGTTTCTTCATATAACTGTTGTGGGCATGTGTGGTAGCTTAGACACATTTGTGTAAATTGTGTAAATTAATATATTTTATGTGAAATCTAACTAAAGCGTGCTAACTAGTGAACACAATCCCTTCTCCCTCATTACAACAACACAGAGATCCACCCAGGTGATGACTGCTCTTTGAGTCCACTCTGTGATTGGACGATACCTGGGAGTGAAATGACAAGACTGGATGTCTATTGGTTGGCACTTTTTTTTCAATAACACAGCAAATTGATTAACATTAACAAACAGTAACATACAGTATATGAGACAAATACAAAGTAATATGTTTCATAGGTTTAAAAAAATATGTGAAAAAGCGCAAAGTGGTCTTGGCCTGGAACGTCCACAGGAAACGCTGCAGGATGCCAAATTCCAGACAATCCAAGTCTACATGTGGGTTGCAGAAAATAACCACAAAAAATGGAAGGATCCCTTATGAGTAAGTCTTTGGAATGGCCTAAGATGCCCTTTGATGAATAACAGGTGAATCAAGTGAAACAGACACAAATACATGAACAGATATGTGCACATGCTGAAGAAAGCAATAACATGTTTATGACAATGGCAAAGATCCAAAGGTTGATGAGGGACATCCAGGGGGTCGTGGCTGAGGTGAGAGCCCCGCACTCATCCTCTGCCACTCCCTGTCCTCCCAGAAGACACAGTCAATGCTACCCTTAAAGAGGGGCCTGTTTAGACATGGAGAAAACACAGGGCTTTTTTCTCAGATTTATATTGGCCCCTGGAATGGCTAGGAAATACATCTGCATTTGGATAAGAATGACTTAGTAAAATCTTTCTGTGGTGGGGGCCTAATTGGACCGAGAGAGAGTCGTCTCCAGTAACTCCTCTAATGACTCTGCTCCTTCTAGTTTGGGCTCTTCCTTCTCCTCTGACTTTTTCTTCTTTGCGGTCACTTGGCTGGATGGAGGCGTGTCTTCCTGCATCAGCTCTTTGGCCAGGATGCTGGTCACTGCATGACCAGCTCGTCGGTGGTTGGCTAAGGAACAAAAGGAAACAGAGTTAGGGACATAAAATAATTGAGAGATCATAATAATGTAAGTCATGTTTATAGCATAACAAGTCCATTCGAGTATGTCAGCGCATGCCATAAACTAACATATCTGATGTGTGTGCAAGAAATATGTCAGTTAGTCAAACAACATCACAACGGCAGACACGTACTCAACATATTTCACTGACCATAGGCTTTTGTTCTGAATGGATGCTCCCTTTCATTACAACATACACATACATGCATTACCATGACACACAAACACACAAATGGCTTAATGGTGTGGCTGTACGTGTGGATTAATGTGACATCTGGATTAATGTGACATCTGGAGCAACTCGCTGTGTGTTGTCAGATTAAACTCAACTTGATCTTGACAAAGTGGGAAAAATTAGACAAAGTGGGAAAAATTAGGAAAAGGGGGAAAAAAACGCGAGGCATAAGAGACATTGAGCGGAAGAGGAAGTGGGACTGGTGGGATGGAGGAAGGGTGAGTGTGTAAAAGCAAAAACAAGGGTAAGATGCCATGAAGAGCAGGATGATTCATGCTGTGGGAAGATTACGGAGGCAGGGATCAATGAAAATGAGACGAACGTGGATGGAGAGATTGACTAAGAGGAGGAATGAGCTCCTCTGAAGAATGAGAGAAGGAAGTGGTGAAATAGATCACATACAAAAAGTGGATTTAGTGAGGAAAGATAAGAGATGCAGGGGGACGCAGAGAAACAGAGCGAGTGTGACAGATTGTGCCCCGAGGATGCCGTCGTTTTTATTCTTCTACCTGCTTACTCTGTTATTTCCTCCTCCCACACACACACACACACACACACACACACACACACATATACACATATATGTACATGCACACACACCAACAGCCTTGCTTTATTTCTCTCTTCCTCCCTATCCTATACCACTTGTCATTCTCCTGAGTGGGAGGAGAGCTGTGCAGCAGCGGCCATTTTGAATGATATAGGTCAGTGGGAGATTGTGTATGCTGTTAAGTGACGCCTGGTGTATGTTATGAATAAAAGGTTAACAAAAGTAAAGAACACATTTGTTATCACAAACACACAGAGTGATGCAATGTGTTCCTGTTGTTACTGAGAACAACAGATCAATCAAACAACGTCATGATGCAAACCAACAGCAATACACATGCAAATGAACCATGTTCACACAAACAACAAACCAATATTTGACACATGGTTCATATCGAGCAAAGGAAATATCACACAAAAACAGAAGTTACCGAACAGGTCTCCAGAACTAGCTGTGACAAAGACACAATTGAGTCTGGGGAGAAAGAGGAGAAGCAGGATTTGGTGATTCATGTTCACAGTTGACTTCTTTGTGTGAGCCTCAGCTGGACTGATCAACACTGACAGCTGGGGTGTCAAAGTATCACTTAACACACACTTTCCTTGGAGAGGCACACACATCGCTCCTCATCTCTCACAAACACCAATACATGGGAAAACTTTCTCTCTCAGTGAACTCTCACAGATATCTGAAATATCTATTTTTGGCCCTTTCCAAACTTCTCTCCCTCACTCATACATGTACTAATGAGGAATTATGCAAATGACCCAAAAACCGAGAGAACGAGTGTGAGTCAGTGTGGGTGTTATCTTATGTGTGTGTGTAGTGTGCTGAGCTTGTCCTAAAAAAAATTCAACCCGTCTTTCAACGCAGCTCCTTCCTCTCTCATCCTCCTCCACTCCCTCTTGAGGGAGAAGACAGAAGAGGAAGAGCCGGGATCAGAGGCAGCATTGGAAAACCTGCAGATTATCAAGAGGGAATGTATTTGCAAATGTTCTCTGTATTTAAATATACTTTAAAAACATGACTCTCAGAAGCAAATACATAATCTGACAGACTGTTTTCAATGAGCATAACAAGTCACAAGTCACATTACATAGCTAACACATTGAAAGATAAAGGGTAAGTAGTTTTGTTATTGTCAACAAATCCAATGTAAAGACCACAATTTTAAACCTGTGAGTCATCTCAAAAGTTCCCCAGCTAGTCTGTGCGCCTCAGGTCTTATTTTATCCATTTCTACTACATTCCTCAATCTGCTAAACAGGCAACCAGGAATATAAACTTTCATTAAAACAATTCCAAAATACTATTCTAAAGATCTAGGCACTTTTGTATGGGTTAGGTGTTAATAGTGCATCAGATAAATATAGAATCTCTCCAGACTTCTCCTTAGACTATAACTTTGGGGTAGATCACAGTTTGTTGTTCCAGTAGCAACGTGCCCACCTACTGGAGATTAAATGGAACTACTGCAGTGTCTGCTCAGCGAGTTGCTTGGCCTACTGTACTGTATTTCTTGAGAAGCATTTCTCTTTCATGGGACCTCAGCAATACACCCGCCATGTCTGAAGTTGATCTGATGTACGGTTGTAGAGGACCTTTTTTTCTTGCAGCTTTTAGAGATCTCGTGTGTAAAATCAGATTGAAAACAGTTGTTAAATGTCTTATGTGGCTTTAAAAGGAGCTGTTTAAACCCTAAGAAAACCCATGATGCAACGTAGGATCCATTGACCTTTACTTAAAATAGGGACTAAAAGTCAGGATATTTCGTCCTCTGGTACTACAACTTTGACAATGTTTTCTTCTCGCAATGCTTTTTACATTGTCACATTTCAGTACAAAAATCGCTTGAGTACCCCTTTAACACGTGGCATTACAAACACAGGAAATACACAGCATGTGTATCCAAAGACTAGCTCTGATGTTGACTTAATGATCCATGCACTTGGCAGGAAGCCTGGTGTGAGCAGCAGTAGGAAATGAGACGTCGGGACTCAACAAAGACTGTTGTGAGTCTGTTTACCGGTAATGTGAGATTGAATGAGTGTGTTTGCACTTTGAGGGACCATCAGTGAGTCAAAGAGAGTCAAGTGTACAAATCATCTGTATCACATTACTCTTCAGGAGACTTAATAATGGCTGCCTGATGAGGGAAAGATCACGTTGAGAAGAGAAGCTAATAGGAACTAGCTCAGTTGCTTTTTTAAGATAATAACCCACTGCCTCTCGGATCAAAGACAGTCCCCACCCTGCAACTCAATGAACATAAACTGCCTGGTGAGATGCCAATTTCAGAGCAGCCATCTTTATTGTCTTAGCTTTTTGTCAGTACAGAAGCAGTAAAGCCCCGGTCACATGACAGCATGGCATGATGGTGAAGTTGCAGATGAAGGCTGAACCTTCATCACAGTCCCAGCCTAGCAGGGGCTCATGTCGCCCTCGTCAGGACACACTGCGTAACACACTGCTGCACTAGAGGATTGTGGGAGAGAGTGACGTCATCTAGCCCCACGGTTTGCTTGTGTCTCCGTGTTAGTATTGATGTGGAAGTATTCCTTTCATGTCACCAAATAGGCTCAACTGGTGCATACTGTATGAGACTCTCACTGGCATGTATTGTCCCATGGGTGTTTAGTATGCACGTGATATCACCACTGCTGCAGTAATGACTTGATTGACGAGTGCTCTCCTATTGGTCTGAATGATCTCCTCCTGTGTCTGTCTGTGTGGGTCTTAATGTGTGTTTGTGTGAACATCTGTGAGAGCACAGATCTCTATGGGGGTCTCTTTGTAGGAGCAGACCGTCTGCAGAGCCAGCGTGTGCCTCTATTGTTACCGTCCCTTTTATCTCCATGTCTCTGTTGGGATTGGTGCTTTGTCAACTAGTTACTACTGCCATTGGTTATTCTGGCAGGGGTCGTGACCCAGCAGATGGGACCATAGTGAATGTTTAGACACGTCATTCCTCTACACACAAGTGCCCTTAAATTGCTTTAAACACATACACACACAAATTAGCCTAATGTCACAAAGCTGACAATTCTGTAAAAGGAATAGATGGACTAGAACTAACAAACTGAGGTAGGGAGCCAGTGTGATACTGTTTGAAAAACTATCCAAGACTGTCCTCTGGAACGCTGCAACTTCTGTTTAGCCACATGTATTGGTATGCAAACATCTATGCGTGTCTTTGTATCGGCATTCAAGCATCTGGTGTGTGCGTTTTGTCTGCATGTGTTTAAAGTGGGGGTGGGCAGACAGCTGAGGATAACACACACACACACACACACACACACACACACACACACACACACACACACACACACACACACACACACACACACACACACACACAACACACACACACACACACACACACACACACACACACACACACACACACACACACACACACACACACACACACACACACACCACACACACACACACACACACACACACACACACACACACACACACACACACACACACACACACACACACACACACACACACACACACACACACACACACACACGTCAGGGGGTATATGGCCTCCACAGCCTCGTGGGTTTCCTCTAAATCACAATGCAGTGACACAATAAGCATGACACACACTCAATAGCCCCTCAGTAGTCCTTTAACACAAAGTTGGTGACGTGTGCGGTCGTAACAGCGGTGAAGAGGAGAGAAAGAGGGGAGGGGACGTCACACTTTTTGTGATGAAGACCCTTACAAGACACTAAAACAATTAAATAATACACGTGTAGTTTTATATCAGCACATGGAAGACATGAAATGATCCGTATATTTTAAAGATACCCAGTCATAGCATCCTAAACATTTATTTTTAAACTGCATAATACATCTATAATATATTTAAGTAAGTTATTACAACTGTAACACTTTTTTAGAGTGTCATCTTTATTCTACTGTAAATAAGGTGGTCTTATAAAAGTTATAGTTTTGAAACTGTCCTGGTGTTATTTATCGGCCTGACTTTGCAACAGGATGCCAATGTACAAATAGTTTAGCTACCATTATTTGGGCGATACTGTGGACAACATTTTACAATTATTCTCAACATATGTTCTTAGATTACAAAACTGTAATCACTAATGTGATCAGTTGGAAACAGCTCCTATGTATGGGGATGACAG